TTCCCTCCAGGCAGCAGCCAGGTGACAAACAAAGGCAAGGCTTAGGGATATAAGCCTAGAGTCCAAGCTGGGAGGTGAGGAAGGTTTGGGCTTGTAGGCAGCAAGGGTGGAGGTGAGGAAGGTTTGGGCTTGTAGGCAGCCTGGGGGAGAGTAAGAGGAATTTTCAGGAGTTGAGGAAGGAAGCTTCAGTCAGTGGTAACCTTTGGAGAGTTTGACTAGCTTGTAAAGAAGTTATTAACCCTTTTGTTCTGATCCTTTGTTTGGAATTAAATCCAAAGACTGGTGGATCAGAGAGCCAAAGGAGGCCACAAACAGGGTAGCTGGCAGACACCCTTTGCTGCAGGGCTGAGATCCAGGGAGCTCGGGCCTGAAACAGTGGACCTGAGCCAAGTGGTCTCAGCTAGAGGAAAAGGGGACAAAGTCAAAGAGGCTGAAGCCCAAACAAGGGTTGGGCTTGAGGGCCCTAGTGCAGATTTTGTGTAGAAAGAAAGTGTAAGGTGCTGGATAGAAAATTTATATTTATAGGTTTTCTTTTAGGAACTGGCTTGTAGGTAGAGTAGATATGCATTACAATAATGGTCCAGGGGAACAGCAAGGGGTAATTGGTTTCTAAAAGCCTGTTTGTTAGGGCTGTGAAAAGCTTCAGTAACTGATTTGATTCAGCCCAAGATTCAGGTGGTCCCCATTCACCACCGTAGGGAGCTGGACCTGGACCTGGGCTCTGTACTGGTAAGTAGGGGGCTGGAGGAGGGGAGAGGGGACCATGGGGGGGACCCTCACCTGGCCCCATGCCCTGCTGGTTCCCCCAGCCCCGCCCGGCCAATGTTCCTTCTAAGGTGTAGCGATCCATGAGCACGCTGCTTCAGTCTGTTCCTGAATTGGTCCCACCTCCCCCTGCAACCCTGCCCTGGGGAAGATCACAGTCTCTTTCTAACAGCTAACATACCCAAAGGTACAAAATCCATTACATGGATCTGGACTACACTCAGCTTAATAGACAAGTATCCTCATGTAATGGATTTTGCAGTAATGGATTTTGCAATAATGTATTTTGAGTAAAACTAACGGTGAGTACTAAACTAGAACTAGAATGGTGTGTGGTTTGTTTGGAGGAAGAGAGGGGGCAGGTGTTGCTTACACAGTGGAAAGGAGCTAGTCTGACTATGCTGCACATGGGAGATGAAGGGAAGGGAGGAGAGGAGCTGCCCAGGTGGTACACGAAGCTTTTTTTGTGTGTGTCAAAATGAGACAATCTGCTTTCCCCCTCCCTGCTCTGCAGCATGTTCAGCTGTCTCTGAGTCCCATTTTAAGCATCCTGTATGTCCCACTGAGACTGGGACAATAGCCTCCATTTCACCAAAACAACAGAATGCCTAAGACAGGTGCTTAAAATGGGTCTATCCTGGCTGAAATGGGATGTATAGTCACCACTTTTTAAGGCATGAATCCTGCAGACTAGTTATGCAAAAATCTATGAACTGGTTTAAGCTTACAAGAGTCAGAGGTAAACTTACAAAACCTCTACGCTAGAGCAGGGGTTGTCAACTGGGGTATGCATACCCCTAGGGATACTTGGAAGGGCCCTGTGGGGTACGCATGGGTGGGCAGGGATGGAGCACTGCTGCCTCCCAGAAGCGGGGCTGGGGGCAGGCAACAGCAGCAGCAGTGCCCCTCTGTGGGCTGCGCAGGCACTGCCCAGCCGGACGAATGCTGGGGAGGGAAGGGAAGCTTCCCACCACCCCATGCTGTCACTTTGCACCATCCCACACTGCCACTGCTCTGCTCCTTTTTTAGTAAGTGCGCCCTGGCTCTGCACCCACTTACATAGCTGTTGTCAGTTAACTGACTAAAACAATAATATAGCTGATGTCCTAAGCTTTAATTAAACTCAGTGCCAATTTGTCACCCTTGAACATCAATTTGTTTCCTGGAAGTAAAATGTTCCATTTTGAATTTTGAATGAGTTCCATTTTTTTATTTGGCCTTAAATCCAGAAGGATCCCAAGACAAAGCTCAAGTCAATTGCATTCTGTGAGTAAAACCTATGATGTGATATGACCCAATGTGTTCCTTTTGCCCTATACAATACAAAGCAAATAGGAACCTATTGAACTGTCAGTGCCCATTCCATTAGCTAAATCAATGACTCTCAACCAAGGTGCTACAGCACCCTGGGGTGCCTTGAGATGCTTTCAAGGAGTGCTACGCAGTTAGGTGTGCAAACATGATTCACAAGATAAACCCAGAGGGCA